AATCCCCTTCCCCTCCCCCATTTCTGATGAAGGGTCTCGACCCGAAAAAACAAATTTCCTGCTCCTCTGATGCTGGATATTAATCTTGTTCTGAATTATTGTTCCTCAAAGCTTCCCTGCGATTGGGGCTGAACTGTGTGGTCTGTAGACGCTGGCTTATCTAGAAGTTTGCAACATTAACTAGCAGCGACAGCAGGTTCCTCCCTCTGGGTTAAGATTGAGATGCTGAAAACTGTCCTCTGCGCCAACAGGAACTGTCTGTTCGACCTGTGCCAGTTCTACAACAAGTCTGAGATGTTGTGTGCCAGCTACGGGACATACGTTCAGGTCTGCCAGGCGAATGGGACCGCCCTGTCGAACTGGAGGCAAGAAACCAGCTGCGGTGAGTCTGGGGGTAAAATTCAGGGACGAAGTCTTGGTAGAAGGACACTGTTACTTTGATGCCCCAGATCAGAATGGCAATTGCAGGCCGTCCCTGTACCTTTGTTATTCAGGAGGGGTCTCAGGGCTAGTGGACAGATGATGGGGCAGGGGGTAGCATCACTGGACTTCGAATCCAGCGGCCCAGGTTAAGACTCTGAGGGTGCGTGTTCAAAAGCCACCAGTGGATTTTAAATTCAGTTAATAAATCTGGAATTGAAAGTCAGACCCTGTAATAATGACCATGACAACTATCACTAATTGTCGTAAAAAAATCTCATCTGTTTCACTCATGTACTTTTCATAGAATCCCGACAGTGTGGAATCAGGCCATTCGGCCCATCAAATCCGCACTGGGCCTCTGAACAGCATCCCACCCAGACACACTCCACTACTGTATCCCTGTAACCCTGCATTTCCCACGGCCAATCCACCCTAACCTGCACATCCCTGGACGCTATGGGACAATTTAGCACGGCCAATCCATCCTAACCTGCACATCTCTGGACACTACGGGGACAATTTAGCACGGCCAATCCACCCTAACCTGCACATCTCTGGACACTATGGGACAATTTAGCACGGTCAATCCACCCTAACCGGCACATCTCTGGACACTATGGGGACAATTTAGCACGGCCAATCCACCCTAACCTGCACATTCCTGGACACTACGGGACAATTTAACATGGCCAATTCATCCTAACCTGCACATCCCTGGACACCCTGGGATAAGTTAGTATGGCCAATCTACCCTAACCTGCACATCCCTGGGCACTATGGGGCAACTTAGCACGGCCAATCTACTCTAACCTGCACATCCCTGGACACTATGGGGCAATGTAGCACGGCCAATCCGCCCTAACCTGAACACCTTTGGGAAGCAATAAATGTGGAGCTAGAACAGTAAGGACTGCAGATGCTGGAAGCTAGAATCAGTAAATGTGGAAATCTGCCATCCTTACCCAGTCTGGCCTATATGTAACTTCAGACCGATTATAACCCATAGGAGAAAGATTTAAAAAAAACATGGGGGCAATTTTTTTTATATAGAGGGCGGTTTGTGTGTGGAATGAACTTTCTGATGAAGTGGTGGAAGTGGGTGCAGTTGCAACGTTTAAAAGACATTTGGTTAACAGGAAAGGTTTGGAGGGATATGGGCCAGGAGCAGGCAGGTGGGACTAGTTTGGTTTGGGATTATGGTCGGTATGGACTGGTTGGGCCAAAGGGTCTCTTTCCATGACTCTATGATTATGACTTTATAATGCGGTTGATGGTTAGCTGCCTTCTGAAATGGCCAGGAAAGCCAGTTCAAGGCTGATTAGGGATGGGCAGCAAATGCTCAGCTTGTCCAGCAACACATGAAAGAATGTTTTTAAAAATCACATCTGTCTGGATATCCACGGCTGATTAGCAGCACCCAGGTCAGTGCCCACCGAATATTGGGATACACTGCAATGGGTGAAATATGACTTGGGTGAACATTGTAAATCATCCCAAAGTGCTTCACAGAAGCAATTTTAAAAAATGAGATCTGATACGCAGCCACACAAAGAAATTTTTGATTTGATTTAGATTGATTGATTATTGTCACATGTACCTAGGTACAGTGAAAGATTTTGTTTTGCGTGCGGTTCAGGCAGATCATACCTTACAAAGTGCATTAGGGTAATAGAACAGAGCGAGGAATACAATGTTTTTGTATTTGTCCCCAAGCCTCCGCTTGGTTTCCCTGATGTAGAGGAGGCCACATCGGGAACAGTGGATACAGTATACCACATTGGCAGATGTGCAGGTGAACATCTGCTTGATGTGGAAGGTCTTCTTGGGGCCTGGGATGGGGGTGAGGGGGGAGGTGTACGGGCAAGTGTAGCACTTCCTGCGGTTGCAGGGAAAAGTGCCGTGGGTGGTGGGGCTGGTGGGGAGTGGGGAGTGTGGAGCGGACGAGGGAATCACGGAGAGAGTGGTCCCTCCAGAAAGCAGATAAGGGTGGGGAGGGAAAAATGTCTTTGGTAGTGGAGTCAGATTGCAGATGGCGAAAGTGTCGGAGGATGATGCGTTGGATTCGGAGGTTGGTGGGGTGGTACGCAAGGACGAGGGGGATCCTGTTTTGGTTGTTATTGCGGGGAGGGGGTATGAGGGATGAGTTGCGGGAAGTGTGGGAGACGAGGTCGACGGCGTTTTCGACCACCGTGGGGAGGATGTTGCAGTCTTTGAAAAACGAGGACATCTGGGATGTCCGGGAGTAGAATGCCTCATCCCGGGAGCAGATGCGGCGGAGGCGAAGGAATTGGGAATAGGGGATGGCATTTTTGCAGGAAGGTGGGTGGGAGGAGGTGTATTCTAGGTAGCTGTGGAAGTTGGTAGGCTTGAAATGGATATCGGTTTCTAGGTGGTTGCCAGAGATGGAAACAGAGAGGTCCAGGAAGGAGAGAGAGGTGTCAGAGATGGTCCAGGTGAACTTAAGGTTGGGGTGGAAGGTGTTAGTGAAGTGGATGAACTGTTCAAGCTCCTCTTGTGAGCACGAGGCGGCGCCAATACAGTCATCGATGTAACAGAGGAAGAGGTGGGGGATAGGGCCAGTGTAGCTTCGGAAGGGGGATTGTTCCACGTATCCTACAAAGAGGCAGGCATAGCTTGGACCCATGCGGGTACCCATGGCCACCCCTTTTGTCTGTAGGAAGTGGGAGGAATTAAAATAGAAGCTGTTGAGGGTGAGGACGAGTTCGGCTAAGCGGATGAGGGTGTCAGTGGAGGGGGACTGGTCAGGCCTGCGGCACAGGAAGAAACGGAGGGCCTTTAGGCCATGTGTACGGGTAATGCAGGTGTATGGGGACTGGACGTCCATGGTAAAGATGAGGTGTTGGGGGAATTGGAAGATTTGGAGGAGATGGAGGGTGTGGGTAGTGTCACGGACGCAGGTGGGGAGCTCCTGGACCAAGGGGGAGAAAATGGAGTCGAGATAAGTAGAGATAAGTTCGGTGGGGCAGGAGCAGGCGGAGACAATGGGTCGACCAGGGCAGTCAGGTTTGTGGATTTTGGGAAGGAGATAGAAACGGGCGGTGCGGGGTTGGTGAACGATGAGGTTGGAGGCTGTGGGTGGGAGGTCACCTGAGGTGATGAGGTTGTGGATGGTTTGGAAGATGCTGTTTTGGCCGTCGGGGGTGGGGTCATGATCAAGAGGGCGATAGGAGGAGGTGTCAGAGAGCTGACGTCTGGCCTCGGCAATGTACAGGTCAGTGTGCCATACTACAACTCCGCCTCCCTTGTCTGCGGGTTTTACGGTGAGGTTGGGATTGGAGCAGAGGGAGCGGAGGGCTTCACCTTCTGTGGGGGAGAGGTTGGAGTGGGTGAGAGGGGTGGAGAGGTTGAGGCGATTGATGTCTCAATGGCAGTTGGAGATGAAGAGGTCAAGGGAGGGTAGGAGGCCTTGGGGTGGTGTCCAGGAGGGGGGGGTGTGTTGGAGGCGGGAGAAGGGGTCAGTAGAGGGAGGGTTAGGCTCACGGTTAAAGAAGTAAGTGCGGAGGCGGAGGGTCACAGTTGGTTGGCAGTGTCACAGTTCTTACGTACGGCTGTGCATTTCTGTTTTACAGCTATGGACTGTCCTCCAAACAGCATGTACAGGTCATGCATGGCTGCCTGTCCTCCCACCTGTGCCAACCTGGCCGCCCCATCAGAATGCGACGCTCCATGCATGGAAGGTTGTGAATGCAAACCAGGCTTTGTCTACAGCGATTTTGAATGTGTGCCTTACAGACAGTGCGGCTGCACCTATCGCAGCAAGTATTACGAGGTAGGTCAAGGCAACAATATTTATGCGACTCCGTTAACCTCCAGCAACATGTCTCTCCTTGGGAGGCTATTGGCACACAGACGTCACTGGGAAGAGTGTCATGTCACCGAAGCCTTTCACCCTGCACTCATCAGGACATTTGGCAAGAATGCCAATTTTCAAATTATCACATTAGTTTTGTACTCCGGGTGAAAGTACCTTATTGCTTTCTGCATGGCAATATCTCAGGAAATCAGATTTGACCTTCCAACCGATCAGCACTCTTATACCCTGCAGCAAAACTTGTTGTGATTGTTTGAAATTTTTGCATTCTTGCGTTTGTCCTGACAAAGCAAGACAAAAATCTTCGGAAACGTGTCTTCTGTTCAACAACGTTCAAGTTCTGTACTGCCAAGAGGGCAGGTTTTAAGGTGTATCTTTAAGCAGCATCAGTAGTGATTGCTGATGGAGTACACATAACATTCCTTGTTCCAGTCCTACTTGGGCCCCCAGCCACAACTCTTCCTTCCGATACATCGATGACATAAGTGGAACCGCTTCCCTCTCTCGTCCAGAATGGGAAAAATTTGTTGATTTTGCTTCCAATTTCCACCCTGCTCTCACCTTCACCTAGTCCATCTCTGAATCTGCCCTTCCCTTCATCGACATCTCGGTTCCTATTTCTGGAGATAAGCTGGCCACCAGTATCCACAACAAACCCACCGACTCCCACAGTTACCTTGACTGTACATCCTCACACCCTGCTTCCTGCAAGAACTTCTTTCCATTCTCCCAGTTTCTCTGTCTCTTGTTCGGATGATGACGTCTTCCGCAGGGGACATCTCAGAAACGTCCACCTTTTTCCTCAACCAAGAGTTCCCTGCTATCATTGGTTTACAGGGCCCTTTGTCATTGTCTAACCCATCTCCTGTACTTCTGCCCTCACCCCTTCTCTTCCTTCCCACAACCACCCCAGAGTCCTCACTTACCACCCTGGCAGCCTTTGTACCCAGAGGATCATAAGCCGCCATTTCTGTCCCACCTCCTGTGGGATGCCGCCATCAGACACACACACATGTTCCCCTCCCCACCTTTGTCGGCATTCTCAGGGATCGTTCCCTCTAGGACACCCTGGTCTACTCCTCCTCCATTCGCGACATCTCCCCAAGCCCCCATGGCACCTTCTCACACAGTCGCAGAAGCTGTAATGCCTGCCTGTTTACCACCTCCATCCTCGCTATCCAAGGCCCCAGACATACCTTCCAGGTGAAGCAGTGCTTTATTCGATCCAGCCCACTGTTCTCGCCCCTCACAATGTGGTCTCCTCTGCATTGGGGATGGGGGAGGCGAAATGCAGACCACTTTGCAGACACCTGCATCCTGTCCGTAAAAATGGCCCTGAGAATCCAGTCACCTGCCACTTCAACACATTCCCACATCAATAGATCTGCTTCGGTGCTCCAGCAAACTCAGTGCAAGCTCAAAGAACAGCATCTCATCTTCCGCTTGGGGACCCTTCAGCTTCCAGGACTCCACATTGAGTTCAATAACTTTAGAGCCTGATTCAGTCTTTCTCAGAATCAGTGTGGAACAGTGTGGAAGCAGGCTATTCGGCCCATCGAGTCCACACCGACGCTCTGAACGGCATCCCACACAGACCCACCCCTGCATTTCCCACCCTAAACACTATGGGGCAATATAGCATGGCCAATCCACCCTAACCTGCACATCTTTGGACTGTGGGAGGAAGCCAGAGCACCAGAAGAAACCCACACAGAAATAGGGAGAATATGCAAACTCCACACAGTCACCCGAGGCTGGAATCGAACCTGGGTCCCTGGCACTGTGAGGCAGCAGGGCTAGCCACTGAGTCCCCGTGCCACCCTTTTGACCCATTCCCATGCCCTGTTTCCAGCATGCTAGCCCATTCTCACCCCTCTTACTCATAGAGTCACAGAGATGTGCAACATGGAAACAGACCCTTCGGTCCAACTCTTCCATGCCGACCAGATAACCTAAATTAATCTAGTCCAATTTGCCAGCTTTTGACTCATATCCCTCTAAACTCTTCCTATTGACGTACCCATCCAGATGCCTTTTAAATTTAATTGTACCAGCTTCCACCACTTCCTCTGGCAGCCCATACATATACCACCCTTTCAAATCTTTCCCCTCTCACCTTAAGCTTAGTACTATTATCACATTACGTGGATTGCTTTCAGCACAATCTATCTATTCTCTCCTACTCTCCACTCTCATTATTACTAATTCAGCTTCTCTTCTGTCCTGGCCTACTATCAATAATCCCCTGGTCTCTCTACCCCTCATATCTCTCTCTGTCTCTGAGCTCCATGGCCACCTACCCCTCACCTTTCCCCTTAGCCCATCTTGTCTTCAGCGTAAATGCCACTTTCTCCTAACTGCTATCAGTTCTGATTAAGAGTTACTGGACTTGAAATGTTAACCCTGCTTTCTCCCCACAGCTGTTGCCAGACCTGCTGAGTTTCTGGTTTCGTATCAGATCTCCAGCATCCACAGCTGTTTGTTTTATTTCAGTGGTTGCTGACAGCCCGGTGACCACAGAAAGTGATGCAGGCTCTGACTGGCTGTTCTGGCAGGAATCACTGGAAAACCACCAAGGAATGATCCACTGGACAAGTATCCCCATATCTAACCCAGACGCAGTGAATCCAAACTGTAGCACCACAAACGCAGCATCAAGACAGCTGAAGGACAGTAACCTTTTCCATCTCTGTGCCACAACCTATTGGTTCCTTACTGCCCATTTGTTGTCCAGTGGGTCACGAGGCCAAGTTAGCTCCATCCTGCATGGGGTCATGATCTCCTCCATTCGCTGTCCCCAAGTAAAGATCAAAGAACAGTACAGCACAGGACCAGGGCCTTTGGCCTACCCATGCTGACAAATGACACCTTTCGAAACTAAAAATCTTTTGGCTCTAAGTGGCCCTGCCTATTCATGTATCAGTCAAGATGCATCTTAAACCGTTGCTGTTGTATCTGCTTCTAACACCTCCTCTGGCAGCGAATTCCAGGTGCTCTCTGTAAAAAAAAACCTACCTCTCATATCTCCTTTAAAGTTTCCCCCTTTTACCTTAAACCTACGTCCCCTAGTAATTGACATTTCTACCCTTGGGGGAAAAATGTCCGACTATCCATAATGTTGTAAACTTCTTTCAAGTCACCCCTCAGCCTCTGATATTTAACTGAAAACAAACCAAGCTTTTGTCCAATCTCTCCTCAGTGCTAATACCCTCCCAACCAGGCAACATCCTGGTAAACCTTTTCTGAACCCTCTCTGAAACCCTCCACATCCAATCATTTCTGTTTTATTTGAATTACAGGTTGGAGAAAGATTTATCACAGACGATTGCTCTGAAAACTGCACATGTAACAATACGGAAACTGTTATGTGCTTAACAATGAAATGTCCAGAGCCGACAGTGTGTACTGTCATAGGCAGCATCAGGGCCTGTGGCATAGGTAAGGACGGATGGCTCCTCATCTCTAAGGATAAGTCTTTCATCCGGGAACCAAGATTTAAATCCAACCCTATAATGGGGGGCAAAGCTTTTCTCTGATTTTCGGCTGAATGGATTCTATGTTAGGTTGTCTCCAATTCTCAATGTCACCTGAAAGATGGATAAATATCTAACCTTAGTGGGCCTGACTCATATGGTTTGGGATAAACGCCATGGATGTCAGCTGGGAGCCTGTGTGTTTCATCAGCCTGTGGTGTTCCCAATTACAAATGTAAAGAAAGATCAATAATCAAGTCAAAGAGATCTACAGCATGGAAACTGGCCCTTCAGCCCAACTTGCCCATGCTGCCCAGTTTTCACAATTTAAACTAGTCCCATTTGCCTGTGTTTGGCCCATATCCCTCCATGCCCATCCCATCATGTCCCTGTCTTAAATGACGAAATTGTACTCACTTCCACCACAACTTCTGGCAGCCTGTTCCACACCTCTCTCTGTGTGAAATAACTGCCTCTCTGGACCCTTTAGCATCTCTCCCGTCTCACCTTAAACCTACGCCCTCTAGTTTCAGACTCCCCTACCCTGCGGAAAAGTTGTCGGCTTCTCTATGCCTCTCATGACTTTATGTGCTGAAGAAAAGACACGTTTAATTCGAGCTTTTCATCATGCTGTTATCAGAACACTTTGCAAGAATTCCGATTTAAAGGAGGAATCTTGATATTTACATACGATCTTGCCGACCAATCAGCAATCTTGTCTCATGCAGCGTAAATGTTGCCCTCCTTTTACAGCTGGTACTTCTTGGCAATTGTCCTGATGATGAAAAGCTGTGACAAAACATGTCTTTATTCAACTTCTGTGCTCCGGAGTAACTCTAAGGACATCTTTAGTCCTGCAGCACAGTCAGAACACTGAGCCCTAGCTCTGGGAGGTCAAAGGCTTGTTCAGCCTGATGGTCACTGACTGAACTTTGCTAACATTCAGATCAAAAGAAGGGATTGTTTGTCGTGACCCTGCTGAGCTATGTTCGAAGAGTATGCAGCACAGAAACAGACCATTTGGCCCACTGGTCGATGCCTACGCTGATCTGATGCTCCATGCAAGACGCTGCCCACACAATATCATCTCCCCCCCACCATCGTATCTTTCTATTGCTTTCTCCTGCGTGTATTCATCCAGCTTTGCCTTCAATATATCTACAGCATTCACAGGCAGCAAGGTGGCTCATTGGTTAGCACTGCTGCCTCACAGCGCCAGGGACCCGGGTTTGATTCCACCCTCGGGCAACTGTCTGTGTGGAGTTTGCACATTCTCCCCGTGTCTGCATGGATTTCCTCTGGGTGATCTGATTTCCTCTCACAGTCCAAAGTTGAGCAGGTTAGGGTGGATTGACCACGCTAAATTGTCCCGTAGTGTCCAGGAATGCACAGGCTAGATGGGAAGTGCAGGGTTACCGGAACAGGGTAGGGGGATGGGTCTGGGTGCTCTTCAGAGAGTTGGTGTGGGCTGAATGGCCTCCTCCCACACGGCAGGGATTCTATGATTCACTGCAACCACTTGCTGTGGTAGCCCATTCTGCTCTCTCACCAATCGCTGAGTAAAGGCGTTTCTCCTAGATCTCCTACTGGGTTCATCATCAACAATTTTGTATTGATGACCCCTAATTTCAGTCTCTCTTTCACCAAGCCCTCCCTGAAAGTATAAACACCCTCTTGAAATCCCTTTACAGTTTTAAAGTTCTCTGTCAAGTCACCCATTTCTTTTCTAGCAAAAAGTGACTCAGCCTGTTTCAATCTTTAGTAATAAACCTGTTAGCTTTGGTACTATCCGAGTCAATATGTTTTATGCCTTCTCGTTGGTATCTCACTTGTACTAACTTATTTTTATCCTTCTCACACCATTTTAATGTGGAAAGTTAATGTAGCTTGACAGCAGATATGACAACCATTAACAGCTTGCAGACATGACCTCTGTTAATGGTATCCAAGTTCAAACATAAACTGTTAGAATGGTTACAGGATGGAGGGAGGCCGTTCAACCCATAAATGTGTATGCCAGCTCTCTGTATGCATTATGCAGCTAACCCCTGTCCCTTCCCTGCTGATGTTTATCTAACTCTGTAAGGAAAGCCATTATTGAGTCTTCACCACCACATTCTGTATTGTGGATCCTAAATGCACTCAGCTTCTTTGTTTAGCCATTCACCTTAAATAAGGCTGTAAAAACATAAGAAATCTGAGCAGAAGGAAGCCATTGTAGCCTGTTCCGCCATTCAATGGTGGGACTAGTTTGGTTTGGTCCAGTTGGACCGAAGGGTCTGTTTCTGTGCTGTGTGACTCTATGACTGATCCCCTACCTCAACGCCATGTACCTGCACTACTCCCATGACACTCAACGTTTTGGAGATATGGAAATCTATCGATCTCTGTCTCCAATATGCTCAATGACTGAGCCTCCACAGCCCTCTGGGACAGAGCAACCCAAAGGTTCACAAATGTCTGAGTAATGAAGTTTAGCTCATCTAAATCTAAAATGGCCTGCCTTTTATTCTTAAACTGTGCTCCTAGCTTTGAGACACTTCCCAACCAGACCAAACACAACCAGACATAAAGTCTTGGAGTCATGCAGCATGGAAACTGACCCTTTGGTCCAACCAGTCCACGCTGAACATAATCCCAAACTAAACTAGACCTCCTCCCCTTATTTTGAATCCAATTCTCATAGAATCATAAAATCCCTACAGTGTGGAAACAGGCCCTTTGGCCCAACAAGTCCACACCGAACCTCAGATCATCCAACTCAGATCCATCCCTTATACACCTAAGCTACTGCTCCCTGAACACTACAGGCAATTTAGCATGGCCAATCCACCTAACCTGCACATCTTTGGACTGTGGGAGGAAACTGGAGCATGGGGAGAATGTGCAAACTCCACACAGACAGTCGCCTGAAGCTGGAATTGAACCCTAATTCTCGATTTGCCCATGACAGGGAAAAATCCCCTCAGAATTTTAAATTGTCACAGCTACACATCTAAATCCACTATAATATCCTATACGTAGAGATCCACAGTACAAAAAAAGCCCAATGTATCTGTGCCAGTCAAAAACACCACCTAACTAATCTCATTTTCCAGTCCTCAGCCCATAGCCTCGGCATCTCAAATGCATATCTAAATACTTCCTAAATGTTAATGAGGGTTTCTGCCTCTATAACCCTTACAGGCAGTGAGTTCCAGAATCCCACCACTCTCGGGGTGAAAACATTTTTTCCCTCGCATCCCTCCAAGCCTCTGTTCCTTACTTTAAGCCTCACCTCCTTGTCATTGATCCCTCCAGCAAGGGGAAAGAGGGTGACACGGTGGCTCAGTGGTTAGCACTGCTGCCTCACAGCGCCAGGGACCCGGGTTTGATGCCACCCTCGGGTGACTGTCTGTGCGGAGTTTGCACATTCTCCCCGTGTCTGTGTGGGTTTGCTCCGGTTTCCTCCCACAGTCCAAAGATGTGCAGGTTAGGGTGGATTGGCCATGGGAAATTGCCTGCAGCATTCAGGGATGTGTAGATTAGGTGGGTTATAGGGGGATGGGTCTGGGTGGGATGCTCTGAGGGTTGGAGTGGACTTATTGGGCCAAAGGGCCTATTTCCACACTGTAGGGATTCTGTGAAATGAAAAAGTTCCTTCCTATCTTGCCCCTTGTAATTTTATACATCTCAATCATCTCACCCCTCAATCTCCACTGCTCTGAGGAAAACAACCCCAATGGGTCTAATCTCTATCCAACCACATACATTGTGGCAGAGATAAATGCATTAACTGTAGCCTCAGTATCAATTTGGTGTTCACTTGTCTAACCATATTATTCTGGAAAATATAAACCAGTCTGACAACAGAGGTTAAGGGTCGATTGCAACATGACTCCACTGACTTTCAAACTGAAAAGTTATCAGCTCAAACGATCATGTACATATTTCTTTTTGGTGGGATAAGGAGAGGTGAATGTTTAACATGTTTTATTGGTGAATTGTTTTGCTGTTGATTTATTGCCTGCTTTTATTTCCACAGAGAAACCTAATTGTATGGCAGATACCTGTCAAAATGGCGGCACATGCCTGGAGACGCCAAATGGATTTGAATGTGTCTGTCCTTCCTCCTTCATAGGATCACACTGCGAGCGTACGTTTTCTACTTTTACCCCGCATCTCTTTTGAATGTTCAGATTCTGATCGAGTTAGATGGGGGTGGGGGGAGAACTAGTTTTCCTTGGCACGGCCATCAGAGAACAGACATTTTACGATAATCAGCAAAAAAAGGCAGAACTTTGTTCCACAGCCAGTTTTTTTTTAATGATAGGGACTACACAGTGGTTATGTCACTGGACAATAATCCAGGGGCCCAGATTAACGCTGTGGGGACCTGGGTTCAAAACCCAAGCATGGAATTTAAGTTCAAATCATAAAATTCCAGGATTTGAAAATTAGTGTCAGGAATGGGGCCCATGAACAATTCTCGTAAAAAAACCTCAATGCCCTTTAGGGAGGGAAATCCACTGTCCGGTCTACGTATGGCTCTAGACAGCAGTGAAATAGCTGACCCATAACTGACCTCTGAAATGGTTCAGGAAGTCACTCAGCTTCAAGGGCAATTAAGGATGGGCAATAAATGGTGCATACAACTAGCAAAAGAACAAGACAGAATGATCTGAAGTGCATTGCTTGAAAGGGTGGATGAGACAGATTCAATTGGAACTTTTAAAAAGATAGAAGGCGCGAAAAATTTGCATGGCCTCAGAGAAAGAACAGACAGAAGTGCAAATAAATTTTTTTTAAAAAATCATTTATGTGTCGCTGGCTGACCAGCATTTATTGCCCCGTCCCTAGTTGCCCCTTGAGATGGTGGTGGTGAGCTGCTTCTTGAACCACTGCAGTCCTCCTGCTGTGGGTCGACACACAATGGCCTTGGGGAGGGAATGCCAGGATTTTGACCCAACGACACTGAAGGAACGGCAAAGAATATTCAGGTGCTTAGAGTCACAGAACCTCCTGGTCCAATGAATGAAACAAATCCCATAGAATCCTGTACAGAGCAGCTGGCCACAGTGATGGAGAAGTCTGTGGGTTTGCACTGAGCTGTGATGGATTTATTTATAGTAGTTAATCATTTGTCTGTGTTGTCTCACTAACTTTATTCAGTAGAGAGCTGCAACACATGGTGGAAGCAGAACTTATTAGTCAGCCAGCACCTTGCAGCTCCGGGACACAAGGACAGCAGCCGTAGGCAAGGACAGCTCACTGATTGACAACAGGGATGCTTTTAAGCCCTGTGGTTGCCATGGATTTGCACTGGTGACCTGTGCTCAGAAGTGCAATTTTCCGTTGCAGCATTACAAGCCTGAAGCTTCAGGCTCGGCGAACGTTCATTTGTTACTCAATGATGACAGATTTCCCTTCGTTTCTCCTTAGATAATATCAAGATCATCATTGCCGTGACAGTGGTGATTGTAGTGGTCCTTCTCATCATTGGTGCAGTGCTGATTTACTTCTGCTGCTGCAGGTACGTCATAGCAATTGTGCTGACCCCAGAATGAAATGGTTCAATGTGGCATCCTTATTCATTTGACAGACATTTGTTCTAGGGAGCCCTCAACATTACCTCAGCAATGGGTTCAGCCCAGTCCATGGGTTATCCCCAATTACATCCCAGGATCACCTAGCAGTTACAGCCCAGAAGGAGACCATTCGGCCCTTCAGGCCCACACTGGCTCTCTGAATATGCCATGCACCTAAAGCCATGCCTCTGCCTTCTCCCTGTAACCCTGCACATCTTCCTTTTCACATAATCAATTAAAAGCTTCGGTTGAACCTGGCAGTGCATTCCAGATCCCCAACCACTCACGCTATGTAAAGAGATTTCCCCTAATGTGTCCGACTGCTTCTTCTGCCAAAGACCTTTAATCTGTGCCCTCTTTTCATTAGTAAACTTCTACATCATTTTGCAAATATATAGTTTGTTACAGTCTTCTGTACACAAACTCAAGAACCCACTTTTCAGTGGAGAGATTCCTGGACCCTTATCGTATCTCGACTGTTAATCATCTGGCCTAAATTTTGATAAAAAAGGGTTTATGGGAGGATGGAGTTATTCTCAGCTTCCCCCATTCTTAAGGCCCATTTTAGCCTCTGTAAGGTCTGCCTTTCCCAAATCAAGGGAGAGATCATCTGAGGAGTACCTCTGATCCCGAATGGCCCCAAAAGGAAACAAGGACTCTCATCTGCTTCAGCAATAACCCTGAGTGTGTTTGATTTGTAAACAGGAATGGAGGATCAAACAAAAGTGACACAACGAGTGACATCATCTCCCTCAGCAGCCACACTGATATGAAACAAATAAGGCAGCAAATCTATGAAGATCAAAGACCCGTTGGAATATCAAACCCACACTTCAATTACTAACCCACAGATTGCCTGGGGTTTGTTCCAGATTATACATTTTAAGCATGTCAGGTGTTACAAATCTTACAGTTCTTGCAATTGGAGCAACAGTGTAACTTCCTCTCAATTTAAATTATAAAACGCAAAGCAGCAGTGTGTAAGTGTGAATGTTTGTTTTTGGCTGATGCCAAGGTAGCAGTGCCAGAGTCATAGAGATGTACAGCACAGAAACAGAGCCTTTGGTCCAACTCATTCATGCCGACTGGATATTCGACATTAATCTAGTCCCATTTGCCAGCCACATGCCAGTCCACCAGGTGAGAGCTCAAGGATCCCTGACTAATGCTGGCATTGTGCGAGAGTGCTTACACACACCCAAACCGCCCCTCCTCATCCCCACCATCGCAGTGGGCACAGTCTAAAGATCGGGACCACCAATTCCTCAGGAGTGAAATTGGGACTGTGTTTCTGTGAAGTCATTCAGGCATCTGGGACAAATTTAGAGTTAGGTTGCTGGTCAACCATGATCTCACTGAACGGCAGAACAGACTCCAGGAGCTGAATGGCCTCCGATGTGATATCCCTACCAGTTCGTCCCATTGTTTCTGGACGTGTGAAAAAGTCCAGTTCAAATTTCTGGTGTGTTTATTTGCATCTTTGGACCCCAGTGTAATTCGCACTGGGCTTGCTGCTTGTTCTGTTGATGCTGAATCAATTTAATCTTTGTGTTTCAATGCATCACCTTTCAATTCCATCAGTGGCGCAATAGGGGTGAGATTTTTAGATTTAGATTTTAGGTTTTATTGTCACGTATCCTCAAGGACAGGAGTACAGTGAAAAGTGGCTCATGTCACCACACACAGCGCCACCCTTAGCTACCTGCACATCTTTGGACTGTGGGAGGAAACCAGAGCACCCGGAGAAAACTTACACAGACACAGGGAGAACGTGCAAACTCCACACAGACAGTCGCCCGAGGGTGGAATCGAACCTGGGTCTCTGGCGCCGTGAGGCAGCAGCGCTAACCACTGAGCCACCGTGCCACCCACACTGGAGGTGATATGTAGAAAGCGTGCACATATAATGCTCCATTCTGTAATTAAACATAACATAAACGAAAACGTGGGAACATAAGAGCTAGGAGCAGGAGTGGGCAGTTCAGTCCCTCGAGTCTGCTCCACCATGCAACACAATAGTGGCCGGTCTCATGAACAGCACTTTCCTGCCTCCTCTCCATTATCCTTTAACCCATTACTAACTAAAAATCTATCTCTCTCCTCCCTAAACTTACTCAACGTCCCAACATCCACCGCACCCTAGGAAAGTGAATTCCACAGATTCACGACCCTTTGAGAGAAATAATTTCTCTTCATCTCATTTTAAATCTTATCCTAAAACTATGACCTCCCATTCTCGATTGCCCCACAGGTAAACATACCCTCTATATATACTTTGTTAATCCCCTTTAGCATCTTATATATTTCAGTTTTCTTTATTTGTTCACAAGATGAGGGTGTCACTGGCCAGGCAGCATTTACTGCCCATCCCTAATTGCCCAGAGTCAACCACATTGCTGTGGGTCTGGAATCACATGTAGGCCAGACCAGGTAAGGATGGCCGTTTCCTTCCCTAAAGGACATTAGTGAACCAGATGGGTTTTTCCCCCAACAATCAACTCGTGGTCATCATTAGACTCTTAATTCTAGATATTTTTTGAATTTAAATTCCACCATCTACTGTGATGGGATTCGAATCCAGGTCCCCAGAACGTTACCTGGGTCTCTGGATTAACAGTTCAGTGATAATACCACTAGACCATCGCTTCGTCTCACTCTTCTAGACTCTAAAACAACTCAAAAATGATTGGATCAAATACAAAGTTGCTGGAAAAGCTCAGCAGGTCTGTCAGCATCTGTGAAGGAGAAAACAGAGTTAACGTTTCGAGTCCGATGACCCTTCCTCAATTTTGCAAAGCTGCAAAACAATTTAGGAGGATTGTTGGCCAAGAAGGTGGTCGTTTCCCCTCTTTTAACACCTTTTCAGAGGGTTTAACAAATATTTCTCTTTCATGTATAGTGCCCAGCTATCATACATCAATTAGACTTTGTTACCCTGATTTAAGTTGAAGACGAGCCAATTCCAAGTGTGGAAAAGAGAGCAGGGTTTTATTACCTATTAAATGAAAGAAAAATAAGAAAACATGACCTCAAATATGTACACACAAATACAGGTAAAATAGTTTTAAAAGGAAGAAGGTGGGGAGAAGGGTAACAGTACAGACAGGGATGATTTTTATACACAAATACAGTTACAGATCTTAAAAGTCCCTTGGTTTTGAGACCTAAAAGAACAGAGTCCAACTGTTTAGCTATCATCCCATCTCCACAAAAGTAACAAACTCATAGATATGCTTGATTTCTCAATTGATAGTGGTTTTTCCAAGTTGGGTTTACACCCACGCTCGTTTCTGAGATTAAGGGAGTGAAGAGCTTTCAACATACTTGCTGTTATCAGTCCAAGTTGTTTTTAATCCCTTTTCTGGTCTAAAATAAGCTCCTAAAATATAGTTTGTACATTCCAAATATAATCTCAGTCTTTTTTTCTCTTATAATCCCATACAAGTCAGATGCCAAAATTAAATTTGGCTTAATAGATTTTTTTTTAATTTCACGCGGCAGTCTTTCACACAAGGCTAAAGGTTTGGTTTTGACAATAAAACAATAAAACAGAAGTTTATTACACTAAAGAAGAACTAAATAAAACAAATCAAGCTATCTATATTTAATACACAGTTTAAATAAGTTCAACAGTCAGCAAAACAAAATCCCAACAATCTCAAATATAGTTAATCAAAATCCAGATAAATGTCCTTCCCTATCAAGTCTGTAGGTTGACTTAGCTACTTTTTCCTCAGTTCTGGTCCTATAAGCTCTTTGACTCACACAACTTGAGACTTTCTCAACTCTGAATAACCAATACAGATTTTTTAACCAAACACTCCTGCTCCAGAAGTTTCACAAAGTAAAACCTTTATAACTTATTCCCTAAACTGCTCTAAGCAAATTCCTTCTTCAAGGAGAAACTATTTTTGCATCTAACTTCAGGCAAGTCTCCTCCAAACTGAACGCAAAAACTTTAAACGAAATTAATTTGAAATAGCCTTGTTCAGCCTAGCTTCTGTTGAAGCTAATGACTTAATTCTTTTACTTTTCCAATCATAAAATTCTCACAAAATAAACAAGTGTCCATTGAACCTCCAGGAGGCCTTCAGTCATCTGATTTCCAACACACACAGCCTCAAGATCATGGTTCTGAACAGAATGACCTAGGTAATTATTAACGTCCTTCACAAGAAATAGACCAATATCCATTCACGGCTAATTTGAAGTATTTAATGAATGGCAGGACACTGGATAGCTTAGTGGGACAAAGGATCTTGCTATAATTACTCACAGATCCCTGAAGTCAGCAGAAGACATGAACAGGATAGTTGAGAAGGCATACAGGACACTTGCTTTCATCAGTCGAGGCATGGAGTATAACAGCCGGGAGATAATGTTGGAGTTGTACAGAGCATGGTCAGGCCACAGCTGGAGTATACTGTGTGTAGTTCTGGTCACCTCACTACAGGAAGGATGTGATAGCATTAGTGGGGGTACAAAGGAGGTTCACCAGGATGTCACCTGGGATGGAGACATTGAGTTTTAAGGAGAAACTAGGCTTTGACTGCTTTCTTTAGAGCACAGAAGACTGAAGGGGTCATGATTGAGGAGTATAACATTATTAGAGGAATGCATAGGGCGAATAAAGAGCAACTGTTTTCCTCGATCGAGGGGTCAATCACGAGGGGGCATAGTTTGAGGGTGAGGGAAGGAGATTCAGAGCGGATTTGGGAAAAGACTTTTTCACTCAATGGGTGGTGGGAATGTGGAATGCATTGCCTGGGAAGGTAGTGGAAGCTGGAAACCTTACAACCTTCAAAAACTATTTGGATGAGCACTTGAAATATCATAACACTCGAGGATATGAGACAAGGGCAGGAAATTGGTATTAGCACGCTTTTAGTGGTAGTTACTGTCAGTGTAGACTCGATGGGCTGAAGGGCCTTTTCTGCGCTGTGTGAATCTGTGACTCTACAATATGGAGAAAGAAGAGGTTATTCACTCCGACAGGAAGAATGGAAAAACAGAATAATTTTTCAAGAAGCTATTATTTTTTCGCACTCACAAAGGGTTAACATGCTGCTGTAGTCAACAAATAATAAAACAAACAGCATTTATGGGATGATGGGGGTGGGGTGGGAAGAGGACTGAAAAATGGAGTTAAGATCACAATGAGATTGGCAATGATACAATCAAATGGTGGAACAATCTCAAAGGATCGACTCCTGCTCCTACGTCCTATGTTCCTATACAACCTGCCTTTATTAAATAATCTTCCAGACCTCTGTGACATGGAGTCTGAGCTGAACCCACTCCAAGGTCAATACATATGCACTGTACTTTGTACTGTCTCCAACACTTTCTTCCTTACATCATGTACTATGTAGGAGGCACTGCAGAAAATTTAAATCCTGTCAATATAGTTTACTGGAGGAATAGCAGACTGAGAGGTTATACATGGCTGGAAAGATTGATCAGGCTGAATGTCTTTTCACTTGGAGAGAGGACATTGAGGGGGTGACCTGATAAAGATCTTTAAAATTCTGCAGTTAGATTAGACATAGAGAAGATGTTTACAATTCCTTGCAGGCAGCACGGTGGCTCGGTGGCTAGCACTGCTGCCTCACAGCACCAGGAACCATGGTTCGATTCCGGCCTCAGGTGACTGTATGAAGTTTGCAATGCTATCTGTGTATCAACTATTGTGGTTTCCTCCCACAACCCAAAGATGTGCAGATTAGCTATGCTGTACTGACTGCTAATGTGTAGGTTAGGTAGATTAGCCATGGGAACGTGGAGTTACAGGGATAGGGTAGATTTGGGTAGGATGCTATTCAAAGGGTCAGTGCATGCTTGATGGGCCAAATGGCCTCTTCCGGCACTGTAGGGATTCTGTGAATTGTGCACCATTAATATGCAATAGACATTATCAAATCCAAGGGAAACCTCCTCACCCTGATGTTGGTGAAATAGTTTGTTTATTCTTTTGAAGCT